CCCCAAAACCCCAAAACCCCATCAATCAAAATTTAAAAGATCATTACTAATTATATATTTTGTAATTATAAATTCAAAAAATATTACAACAGCTTGATTTCTCATTTCTTATTTTATCCATTGGATTATCTAAAATAATTTAAGGAGGAGGCTCATATTTTTCTATAGGTGGTTCAATTTTCTTAACATAATTCTTGTATCCCATTAAATAGAAATCAAAAGCTCTTTATCTATCATCCATAATCACCAAATAGCTACACAATTCATCCATTCTAGCAATTAATCTAGTATTTTAATCTAGTTTGTTAAGTTTTATTACCCTTGTTAGCTCTGACTTCTGAATGTTAAAGACAAATAGTGACTAAAATAATGCCAATGCAAATGTCTCAGTAATCTCACATTCAAACTACTAGCATACTCTTTATTCTTTGGAATTTATGGATATTGATACAGCTTTTTCTGATGCTGAGTTAAAGATTATAAAACTAGGTTTCGTTGACATCATTAATATTCTCTGAGAACTAGTCAGCATCTTAATATGAGATATATTCTAAGTTTCAATTCCAATTTCTTTTTACCTTTGCTTATTTTTCATATCCCACATTGTTATTTCTCCGTAGTTATAAATACTTAGAAATTTATCTCCTAACAGATCAAATTCTATGTTGATCAAATATCCAAGGTTATTATTCAAGTTGCTTAAATACTATATAAATATGTTTTTAAAATAAGTTTACCTTGTATTCCCAATGCAATTTACAATTAATAGCATGAATCGTTTCTGGTTCCTCAATAACTTTGTCATGATCACTTTCATTCGAATCATAATCCTATTACAGATCAATCTCTTCTTCCTCTACTGTAACATAGTAAACCTAAAATTTGGATTCTGATAGTATAGCTATATAGCTAAATTATGCTTAGAATTTCGAATGAGATAGTTTTATTATCTTTTCATCAGTGTTCTATTTAAATTTTAAAGAATTATATGCCTTACAAGTATTTTAATACAATGATTTTTTTCTTGTAATTTTTAGGATTAATCAGTTTATTGCACCTACTATAGTTTCTTCTTTAATTCTTCCTCATTTATTTACTTCTTTTAGTCTTCATCAACATGATCAGAATCTGACTCATTCTCGAGTGCCTTTTACAATAAGAATTTTGCCATAGTTTTCCTTCTTTTAATGTGATATTACTCAGGTTCTTTCTTTTTAACAAATTTCTTAGTTAGTTCTGGAATTGAGTACATCTATAGTTGATTTTGACATCTCACTAGTACAATATTTTCTTTGTCAATAAGCATAAGTTCATCTACACCATGTACTGCTACTTCAAATGTCCTGCTATTTTTATGGTAGTCTAAGCAGATTATCTTCTTTCCAACGTTAACTACTATAAAACTATTCTAAGGGATCGAACTAATCACAAACTTAGAAACTACATCTCTCTGACTAGAGAAATCAATCTGCAAATATATGTTAATGGCATGATTAAAAATACCTTGTTAAATTGGCCTAAAGGATATAAATCTTGGAAGTCTTCTTTTCTAACATTTTAAGTAATAGTCTGAAATTCTCTGAAAGCTTCAAAGGCTGCTTTGTTTTTAAAAACTTCTTCTCCGAGAATCAAGCATTCGTCTAAATTTTATTGCATCTTCAAATAATGCTCCTTACTAAACAGCAATCATTAAGGATAAAATCATACTTATCTGCTAAACTACTCTGCTACATTACCTTAACCTAGCCATATTGCTGCTCAAGTTTTTGAACCTAATTTTTTGCATTATTATCTAATAAGTTCTATTTGTCTTCTAACTTTAGCTTATTACTATAGATACTCTGTCTGTAATCAACCATTAGATAGATAGGTTATAATTTTTTCAAAGCCTCTTAATCTATAGCTATATTCTACTTGAAAATATCAGAAGCTATCATTGCAACAAAATATGTTCCACAAGATGATAATTGCATATGAATTAGTTCTCTAGCTTTAAAAGAATAAATATCTAGCATATCATAAGTCGCTGAGTTTATTTCAGCCTCCTTCTGATCTTTACCATTAAACAACGAAATTTTCCTGACTAATTAGAACTTTCTGGTAATTTTTCTTTCCTTTATATTATAAATAAAGAACTCCAAGCTCTTGGCATCAAAGCCAAGTATTATTTCAGTATTTTCCTCTGGAATCGATATTTTATTTCCTACCTCTTTATTGTCATTGATGAATTATTTGACATCATCAAAGTAATCATTAAATTCCTTCTTCTTCCTAAATATAGACTTATCCAGCATAGGACAATCACTCGTACTCATTATGATCTTCTTTTCAACGTCAATTACATACTTTTTGAATTCATCAGTCCTAACTAAGAGTATATTCTTTTCACGATGAGGAGCAAATTTAATCTCAAGTATATTATAACTTTTCTCGTCTAATATATCATCAAGCTTATATCTAACGTACTCCGAGTTATCATTTTTCAGTTCGAAAATAATCAAAGTTTTGTAATTTCTTTTCTCATTGAACTAATATACTAAAACATGCGTTCCTAAGTTATTTATATCTGCTGATATAATCTTGTCTATAAGAGGATCATATTCGGTTTTTCTTGAAGCAAAAGATTAAAACTATTCTATGTCTTCTTAAGTGTTATTTTTATCTCTATTGTCAAATGAAGGAATGCTAAACTTTGGAATTGTATCATCTTTAATTTCAGCCTCATTTGGATTCTCTATGTTTATTGTAGGTTCACCTTCATTGAGCGGAGCAGCATCTTCAAAAATAATCTCTTAAGTTTTTGATTTAGCTAGAATCTATTCAACTTCCTTATTAACTAATGTATTGTTCTAATCAGAAAATCTATTGATTTCATAAACTCTCTCAAATTCAGCGTCTTTTGACATCTTTAAAATAAACTTTGTATCAGTTGTGATCAGGACATATTGCTCATTCTAAGATATATCTATTGACTCCACAATAGAGGGAACTGACATATCAAAGTTCGCATGTTCTTCATTCTGAATAAAAATCATCCTTAGTTTGTTCTTAAGTGTATTCTTATAATTTAGAATTTCCAAAGATGATGCTATCAGATTCTCAATAAAGTCTCTTTTTTGCTTTGCCTATTCTTCACTTCTAACTTCAAAAGAGTCAATCATTGAGGCAACTTAGTGATCAAATATCAATCCCATATTCCACTACATAAAAATACTATTCACGAAAGAAGTGAATTCAGCTTAAAGATCTAGTTGACTTATCAAATCTAAACCTTCTTTCTTGTGTCCAAGCTAATATTTTACAATTGCTCTGTTATTAATTTGAATATTATGCAAAATTGCTTGCTATATCTAGTCAATTTCATAGTTTTGGTTGAAACTCTCAGGCTAGATAAAATTTTGCAGCATCAACCTCTATGCTATTAGATAGATCTGATTGAAAGCTCGATCAGTTTCAGTAGTGTAGTCAGTTTCATTGCATATCGCAATTATCTCCATTATTTCTGTTTAATACTCGAAGTTATCTTGAGGCGAAAATAATTAGCTATCTATTAGTGTTTATCTTTAAGAATGCTCTTCAACGTAAAGCTTTGTAACCATTTCTGCAATCATTAATCCAAAGTCTTTGAGATCTTTGAGTCTCTTAATTTGATCTGAATTAATATTATCAATGGCTTTTCTCTTTTCCAAAAGTTCATGATACTTTTTGAAGTTAATGTAATCTGAAATGATCAGTTCCGTATTCCAAGTTTCGAAGTTTTGAAGCTTAAATAGAATTGATTCTTTGTAATACTAGACAATTACATTGCTCAAATTTAAGTTTAAGTGATACAAGCGTCTCTTGTGACATTCTTGTATAGTTTTGCACATCTGACTCAGAAACAACAGCAGCATTTTTTTCTTCATTTTCTGAATAGGGTTGAAATACTCTGGATTCAATAGCAAAAATTGAATGAATTTTCTGCAACTTTATCCATCCTGAATAAATTCAGTGACTTGCTTTGGCTTTTTGAGAAATGTCTATGGCTAAAAATCAAATGCCTGAACTATGTTTGGATTCGGACAAGCTTCTACCCAAATTTTATAATCATCCTTGAAATTTTCACATACAAGATCTTTGAAAACAAATCTTTTATCAAGCCTATTGTTTATATAAAGAGCTGACTTGTCAGTGAATTCCTTTTCTAATTCAAAATTTTCCATAAAAATTTAAATTAATTTTATAATTTTTAATAATGAGAAATATTTTCCTTCATGGGGTTTTGGGGTTTTGGGG